ACTGAAGGCTGCAGTCCTTGACCCTCTGCAGCAAGTGCATGAGGTCCTCCTCAGTTTCAGCAAGCAGGGTTGTGTCATCTGCATAACGCAGATTTGCAGTACCAACCCCAAAATAAATACCTTGGATTCGCCAGCTACTTTGTGAGAAGAAGATGTGCAATTTATAGCCTCTGAAAACCCTCTGGATGGTCAGTTATGGATCTCTTCTAACTTGATGGCAGATAAGAACAATATATATATAGACTTAATATTAGAAAGAACAGAGCGCTGCACTTTTGGTTCCACTGCTGTTTAATTTTTAAATACCTAGGAAGTTTTCTTACAGCAAATTTTGTGTCTTTAAAAAAAAAAAAATTTTAAATAACATTTTTTTAAAAGCCCAAAGGATTTAGCTAGCTTACTTTTACCCTTCAAAGGACTAAGGTTTTCATGAATCTTTCTCCCTTCACACAGAAATACAAGGATTCAACAACATTCATCGTCAGCCTTTCTTCTTGTATTAGATGAGGAAAAATAGACTACCTAGAATTTTAAAAAATCTTTTTTCTATCATAGATACACAGCTGTTATTTGATGGAGCTTTTACCCATAAAACCTGAAAATAAAGCTATCTATTCTGCAGTGCAGAATTTTATTTCTCAGAAAAGGCTAAAGTATTTTTTACATTGTGTCATAAATTCATATTAATATACTGTTGCCACTCTTCTTACTATTTTAGATTACGACAAGGGAAGACTTAAATTCCAAGCAGGTTGCTCCAGTAAAAGCAGACCTGGATTCTGAGGTATTTCGACCCAACCTGAGTGATCCCAGCGAGCTTTTACTGCCAGATCAGATTGAAAAGGTAAGACACAACCACATGTGTGCAAATGAAAAATTGGGCAAAATAAAATTTCGGTAACTTTAATAATTCTTGCAATAAACATGCTAGTGATTTAGTTGATGTGGATTATTTAATTTAGTTGTCGCAACAGTTCTATGAGGTAGATCATATTGTTAAGCACATTTTGTAGGTGAAGAACTCAGAAATAGGATGAGTTACTTACTGGTCCAAAGTGACATAGGTCTGACATTTAGAAACTTGGTTTATGATTCTGATCATCTTGACTCCAGAGTTCATTGTTTTGAGTATTTTTATCCATTGGAGACAGAAGTCACAAAGTCACAAAGATGATCCCTGTTTCTGGTATTTTTTGCTAATCTGTTTCTTGTTCAGCATGATTTTTTTTCTGTTTTTCCCTGGTGATATTTTATGCAGAGATATGTATAGTGGCCATTTAAACTCTCAGTATGTCTGAGAAAGCTACAACATTTCTATTATTTTTCTTTTGTCTTACATGTTAGTTAAGTGCTATTAGATTCCAGTTGACTTTTGTATTCTAAATATAGGCCCTAACAAAAGATATCCCGGGTGGCTGGCTTTAAAGAATAGACATATTTTCCTCATAAGTATGGAGAATGAAAGTCCAAATTCAGAGTTTGCCCTCCCCCCCCACCCCCACACCGAGGTGCTTATTTCAACATCTAATAGTAGCAGCCATCTTTGGCCTTCTTTAGCATCTGTTCTTGTTCTGTGTCTGTTTTATTCTTTGTGTTACTTAGAAGTCATTATGTTTAGGACCCATCCTAATCTGATATGGCATCATTAACATAACAGAAGAAAACACCTCTTTGCAAATAGAGTTGGATTTACAGATAAAGTTACTAAGATCCCAGAGCATTTTTTTTAAGTGGGAACAAAAGGGCACAATTTAACTCCTAATAGCCATCAAGTAAACATCAGTTTTGTGTTTGAAAGCTTACCAAGCATCTTCCACCAAGAACAATTGGTTATCCATGGACTCTTGTTTATGGTACTGGAAAGCATGGTACCAGCTTGAAGACCCTTTACCGAACAATGACAGGATTGGACACTCCAGTGCTGATGGTGATTAAAGACAGTGATGGCCAGGTATGAAAAATCTAACTGTAGATATATTCCCTTTTAATACATTTTAGTGTATAATTTACAACTTTCAGTGTGTCTACACTATTAAAAAAACCATTATTTGTGTTCTTAGAGTTAACAGAGAATAATTGAATATTTTAAAAATATAATGCACTATGGAATGCTCCAGAGGCTGGATATATGGGTGACTAGTTAAGCATTCTCCCCTTCAAGGAGATAATATACTATCTGATAAAAAGGAAGACTTAAGAGCTCCAGTGTTACTGAGTAAGATATGCTAAGTATAGTAAGACCTAGGAAAAGTGAAAAAATGTTTAGAATAAAGGTTGTGTAGTTCTGTTTGTAGGAGAGAAAAATGAGCTTCGTGAAAAGGGTAGAAATATGAGTAAAGTTTTGATTGTTGAAGATACTTTTGTGAAGGTGATAACAACAACAAAAGCATAGAAAAGAAAAGCATTTATTTGTCCTTTAGATAGCAGGGTTGGTCAACTTAACAGCACTGAAGAATAAGAGGAGGGTTAAAGTTACAATATTTTTTTAAAAATACCATTATTAATACCTTTATTGTGCTTTGTATATTCTAGGCACTGGATTAATTACTTTTTTGGGAGGGCTAATTACTTTTTATTCTTTGTCTTTTTTATTATCAAAGCCTGGTGAGATTTTCTTTTTTTTTTTCTATAATTATATTTTATTAATTTTCATAAACATTTACAGAGATTTTGGGCTTCCACTCATTCATTGTTGCACTATTCTCTCTACCCTCCTCCCAGTTTGTTCTTGTCCAAATGCCACAGTGCTTGTCAAAGCCAGTTCTGATTAATCTTCTTTGTCAGTGTATCCTTTGCCATTCCCTATCACTCCTCCCTGAGAGAGACTTCACCCTGATTCATAAGGAAAAGGGGACGGCGTATTCTCTTAGCTACTTCCTGCTGAAAAGGGACGCTGTGGGTTTCAGGGTGAAGATCTTCTCTCACTACTCTAAAGGGCCCCTTTGGCAGTAGGAAACACATAGACTATTATGGAGATTGATTTTGGAATTCAGATGCACTCTTATTGATTGTGCTTGGCTGTACATGTACAGAGATTTTCTATTAATTCTGACTTCTTAAGCCAATAAGAAGGATGAGCAGTTTCCTCCCATGCAATTAACTGCCTCTGAAAACCTGCTAGAGGGTCATTTACGGGTCGGTTCCAACTCTTCAGTACACAACAACAACAAACCAATGCTAATATAGATAGGAAAAGATGATGAGATATTTGCAGCAGTGAACTAGGGTGAAGTGCCTACTGCTACTTACCATATAGATCTCACATGTAATGTTATTATGTGCTGTCTTTTCACCTGCGACTCATAGCGACCCTCTGTACAACAGCCCTAAACCCTGCTGTATCCTGTGCTAATCGTATCTCTGACACACCTACTCCCATTACCCAACTCACTGAATCAATCCATCTCATTGAGGGTCTTCCTCTCCTGCTTTGTCTCCCCATCCTCTCAACCATGACTTCCCTCTCCAAGGATTGGTCCCTCCTTGCAACATCTCTAAAGTATGTCAGATGAAGCTTAAGAACCCTTTCCTCTGAGGAGCAGCATGGTCTCACCCTCTCTAGGATAAACCTGTTTGTTCTCCTAGTAGTCCATAGTATATTCAACACTCTTCTCAGCACCACAGCTCAAAGGCATCAATTCTTCTGTCATCCCGAGTCCTTGTCCAGCTTTCTGATTCATAGCAAGTAATTGCAAAGACTATGGCCTGGATCATGTGCACCTTAGCCTCCAAACTGACATCATTGCTCTTCAGTACTTTGGAATGGTCTCTCAAAACAAACATAATAGTGAGTTAAAAAAAAAATAAAATGGGACGCTGAGTAGTAACGCATCACCTCACTTGGCAGAATGTGTGTTCTCCAGTTAGTGGCTTCCTTTGAAAAGGTGGTTATATAGAGAGGAGGCGGAGTGAGGAGAGCTGTACTTTGATTAAAATGAAGTGTATCTTCAATCATGTGTGCTTTTTTAGACCTGAGTTAACCTTTTTTTAATCATACATTCTTTTGAAATTAAAGCTATATAGATAGACTATCAGTAGAGAACAGTGACTGTAGAGTTAATCTGTAAAACATACCTGCTCATGTTAGATGCTGTGGAAACTTAGCCACAAATCTCTGAAATGCACGTGCTTCTCAGTCATGCATTTTCCTGTTGTGGCCTCTACTCTGTGTTATGCATTATGCAAAGTGGTGAAGTTGCAAGACTGAATAGTTCAGACTCATGACTCTTGAGTTTACTATTAATAATGAGGGGCAAAATCTTTTTTGTATAGAACGTTTATCTAGCCTGAAATTGTTGCTTTCCTAAGTGCTGTATCTTCCTTATGAAGTAGAAAGTGGCCTCAGGATCAGAGGAAAACTCACCAACAGCCTGTGTTATGCAAATAACACAACCTTGCTTGCTATAAGTGAGGAGGACTTGCTGTAAAAGATCAAAGACTACAGCCTTCCATATGGATCACTTCTCAGCATCAGGAACACAGAAATCCTCACCACTGGACCAATAATAGATAGCATCATGACAGTTTAAGATAAAAATTGTCAATGATCTACAATTAACACCCTTGGTACCAGCAATCAGGAAATCTAAAGAAGTGTTGGCATTGAGAAAATCTACCATTAAGGACCTCTCTAAAGTGATGACCAGCACGGCTATCACTTTAAAGACTAAGGTGTGCCTGACTCAAGCCATGAACTTTTCAATTACTTTATTTGCATTTGAGAATTGCACAGTGAATAAAGATGACAGAAGTAGCAGCAATGTTTTTAAGTTTTGGCGCTGAAAAAGAACATTAAATATCCCATGTACTGCCAAGAGAACAAACAAATGTGTCTTGGAGAGGGTGCAGCCAAATATACTCTTTAGAGAGAAGGATGGTGAAAGTTCATCTTACGTACTTTGGGCATGTTTGTAGAAGGGTCCAGGCATTTTATGAAGACATCATACTGGGAACAGTGGAGGGTAAACAGAGGAGGGAAAGACACTCAGTGAGGTGGATTAACACAGTGACTGTGCCAGGGCACTCCAGTGTGGCAGAGATGATGAGGATGACACAGGATAGGCAGAGTTCAAGTCTGTTGTTCATACGGTCACTATGTGTTATACTCAACTTGATGGCACCAACTTGCAAGTCCTGACACTCATTAAGCTAACTCTTTAAGGTTGTATGTTTAATTCTTATAAACATTTTTCATTTTCAAAACTATGGAAAGATTTTGTTGTTGTTGTTTTTTTCATTTTTTAGACACTGATATCCTTTGTACTTGACAATAATGTGAAATAATCAACTGAGAAGCCTTGACGTGTTTAAAATTCTAGACTGCTAACCTCAAGGTCCAGCAGCCACTCTGCTGGAGGAAGATGGAGCGGTCAGCTCAGCCACCTTCCAGGGCAGTAGGGTCTGTCCTGTGGGACCTCTGTTAGGCAAAATTGTTCTCTAGGGCAGTTGACTGTCTGTAGCATTTATAACAACTGTAATGTTCATGTTTTCTTTGACTTCTGGGCAGCTGAGTGGCCCACTACATAAATCATTTATTTTACAAGGATTAAAGCATAACAAGTGCCTCTTAGGCTAAGAATTATCCAGATGTCCGGCTTCTCTGAACTACTCCATCCATTGAACTACTCCAATCCATTGTCTCTGACATCAATTACGTCACTTCACCACTGCCTTCTCACTCCTACCTGTATCTGTAGGTTCTGTAATTACTGGGAGGTCCCAAGGAAATGCAGAAACCACCGATAAAATGGTTCACGCAGTTGTAGATGCTGTAGGCCAGTGAACAGGGTTGCGGAAGTTGCTGAATGAGGGGGCCCAGTGCCTGCAGGCTGGGGCTGTCACTTGTCTGCTCTCTGTTGGAGCAGCCATATCGCTTAAATGCAGTGTCCAGAGCTGAAAGAACCCAACTTCTCAGGAGCACTCCTCTACATAGGATTCCAAGACTATAAACACATCCAGGAGAATAAAAGTGGTGATTTGGATTATACCTTTTGTTAGGTTAAGACTTTAAAATGTATCTTATTCTAATCCTACCTCCTGTGAGAATAACCCACTCTAGAATGAGATCTGAAGCATAGACAAAGAGGCTAGAATTATAAAATAGGAGGCCAGCATTGGGATATGTCTGCAGGTAAAAGACTCATCATTGTCATACTTGCTTTCTCTTTTTCTCTTAGTTCTCACTTTCTGTCCTTTATTAGGGGGTAGAGGGGAGAAACAAGATAAAATTCTTTGAAAATACAGATGGTGTTAAATGCAATCAGCTCCTGGTGACACTGTATACAATAGAATGAAACACTGCCTGGTCTCCCACCATCCTCACACTTGCTGCTGCGTTTGAGGCCATTGTTGAAGCCACTGCATCAGTCCACGTCATTTTGAGAGTCTTCTGTTTTTCGATTGGTGTTCTATTTAATCATTTATGAGGTCTATTTTTCCAGAGCTTGGCCTCCTCATGGCATGCCCATAGTACGTGAGACAAAATCTGACTTCCTTCACCCCTAACAGACAGCCCAGCTGCACTGCTTCCATGGGAGACGCAGTTCTTAGACTAGCGGCTCATTATGTATTTACTGTTCTTTGCCAAGCCATGATTTAAAGACATCAATTCTTCTTTGATCTTTCATATTCATTGTCTAACTTTCATATCTGTATGGGGTGATTGAAAATACTGTAGAATGGGTCAGGGGTGCATTGTAGTCCTCAAAGTGGCAGCCTCCTTCTTGAAAGAGGTCTTTTGGTCGAATTGCCTATGCAGTACATTGACTTGCATGCTGCTTCCATGGCTTTGGTTGTGGATCCAAGTTAAAGAAAAATCCTTGAAAACTTCAGTCTTTTCCCTGTTTATCATAGTGTTGCTTATTGGTCCAAATGTTGAAAGTAGCTAGTTAAGCAAGCCAAAATTGAATTTATAATCAAATCCTTGAATCACTTTGAAGTAGATAGCACTGTATCTGTTTTAGAGAGCTCTGGTAGCCTAGTGGTAAGAAGCTGAGCTGCAATCCTGAAGGCACATGTTTCGAATCCACCAACTGTTCTGCAGGAGAAAATTGGGCAGTCTCCTCCTGTGTGTTTTACTGTCTCTGAAAACCCACTGGAGGGTCAGCTATGGGTTCTGACTCGAAGGCACACAATAACAATTCTATCTTTTTTAGAATTACATTTTGTTTAAATTATAGGATAATGTTACTGAAACAAATGAACGTTGATGTTGTTTTAACACCTTTTTAATTCTTAGGTTTTCGGTGCATTAGCATCTGAGCCATTTAAAGTGAGTGACGGCTTCTATGGTACTGGAGAGACCTTTGTGTTCACATTTTGTCCAGAGTTTGAGGTAAGGACAATTATTCCAATAGTCTGTTTAGAAAGAGCTGGTGTAATGAACTTTGACAAGGTGCTCACTTCATTTTGCTCTCCTCTGCCCTTTCCTGATAATTTAACGTTTTCTTTGGCAGCTTGGAACTTCAGCTTTAATGGAAATAGAATAAAACAAGCCACTCCCGCTGGCTGCCATGGAGACAGTTCTAACATGTGTTTTCTGTGTCTATAAATCATAAAGAGAGGAGACTTCCCATCGTCCTCATGTAAAGCCATTGGTGCATTCAAACCTCAGGATACACATGGTCTATACATTAGCAGTGCGGCTCACCAGAGCTAAGCTGCTAGGGATCATCAAATGTAAGGATGGTTTTTAAAAACAAAATGATCTATTTTACAGACAACAGGTGGCCTATAGGAGCTTAATAAGGAATATACATAATTATTACTATTTTTTCATCAATGATCATCATGAACTACCTATACATTTTTATTTATGAGTAAATAAGTTTGATCCTGAAAGTCCTAGAAATTTAAAAAATTTATTTATTTTAGCCAAAATGTGAAGAATGGATTTTACCCCCCTTAACTTGGTGTGGCTATCGTAACTGTGGTTTAATTTAATAAAATGGAATATATGCCATACCAATGAAGTAAAAATTCATTTCAGTGAATATGTATCTTTCTTATTCTAAAACTTAAGGCTCATTACTAATATTTCAAAGGAGCCTTGATGGTATAATGTGAAATGTGTCAGGCTGTTAACTCAAAGGTCAGTAGTTTGAACTCAGCCAGCCCAACAAAATGATGGACAGTCTCCTCTTGAAAAGATTGAAAGCCTCAGAAACTCAGGGGAGGGTCACTTCACATTGGAACCAACCCAAGAGCAATGGAGAGCGTACTGGTATCTCAAGTTCCAGGAGGTTTAGCATGTCAGACCTTCCCTCGGAGATGAAACTGTAGTTTAGTTTTGAGAAAAGGAATCAACACAGTTGGTCTTAAGAATCAAACAACAACAACAAAAAGAGTTGTATTTAAACAATTTCTGTATTGAACCAAGTAGGAGAATTTGGTGGTATTGTGATGTCAGGGAGTTGAGTGGAGCTCCCCATTACCAAAAATAGCCAATAAAAAAAGCCAAAATGAAAATTAAAATCAAGTCATTAAATGACTTACTGTGGTCATTGTAGTATGAAACCCAGCTCCCCCTCAGGCTCCCTTGCCAGCGTCAGGATTCAGGGGCGATAAGAAAGCCTGAACAAAAGACTTCTGGGAAGGGAGACAAGGTTGGAATGAAAAAGTATTGAAGGATTCAGAAGCAGCACCAGAGGAAACTCTCTGCTGAGTCCTCTGAATGGAGGGAAGTCACATTGGAATTGCAGGTAGGGCAGTGGCCGTCCAGGCCTGTAGCTGTCCAGGAAGACCTGAGCCTTCAGAGACCATAATGCATTGTTGATACACTTAGTGTAGAATGGGAGGAGGGCAGCTTTTCTCCCTACACATCAATTCCCACTAGTTGTTAAAAAATTTTCTAACCTTCAGTTATGCTTGTTCTCAACTATATTATATATTAATTAAATATTAGTAACTATGAAAATATAAATGGTTTTGAAAGTTTATGTAAATGAATTGGAAAGGGAATTTCTAAAAATTGCTGTTTATTTGACTTGAGTAAACACCTACTAAATCTAAAAGATTTCTCAAAGGCTCTTTAAATTTTTACTTCTCTTGAATAAATTGAAACAAATTTGTAATTATACATGAATTATGTACATATTTTATTTAAGAATGTTCATCAGCAAAGCTATACCCAAATGTGAGAGTTTGACTATATCAATGCATTATAAAATCAATGTGTGTTTACATGTTTAGTGTTATAAATAAAAGTTAATGGCTGTGTATGGCAATAGTGATACAAGGGGAATTGGAGGGAAGGGAGGAAAGTGTGCATGAGTGAACAAGTAATGAAAAAGGAATAAAAGTCACTTGATTAAAAAAAGTATATATCTATAATTTTTTTAAACCTGTCTGTGCTTCACTTTTATCCAATAATTACCAACTCTTGACACCTATAGATTGAAAAAAGAATTATACAAGTATTTGTGAAGGAATAGCAAGATTTGAAGTATTGTGATTGAAGCTATTAGTTGTAGATTTAGTCATACACTGAAACTCAAATCAGCAGACCTTTCTGTCCTGAGCTTTGTTCGTGTTCCTCTTACTGTCAGCCTCAGTTTTGTTAACTATTTTAAGTTCGAACAATTATGTATAATAGTAATTTTCATCTCTCTGTACTAGATTGATGCATCTCTCCATTGAAAATCTGTGATTTAAAGCTTTCTACTTTTTTGTATATTTGTTATAGGTCTTTAAGTGGACAGGAGATAATATGTTTTTTATTAAAGGAGACATGGATTCACTAGCTTTTGGTGGTGGAGGGTAAGTCTCTTGATTAATACCCTGAGATTTTTGAGAAAACTCACTGCATTTAGATTGTTTATAACATTATTGCCGGAAAGTTTTGGCATTAAAGTTTTTATTTGTATGTATGAGACAAACTATATTTGCAAAAAGTTTAGCATTTTAAGGCCTTTTCATATTTGGCAAAATAAAAACTTTATAAGGAAATTTAATCATATTCTGTTAGCTAATAACATTTCAGGGCTTTCTTTAGCTCAGTAATCCTGCCACTACATTGAAGAAAAAGAAGACACACTGATTTAACTCTATGGATGGGTTGATCCCATGATTGCTAGCGACTCTGGAGGTCTGTTGCCACATTATAAGCGAACTCATTATTTCAAATGTTTTGTCATTTATCCTTTTGTTTCTCAGTGTGTAACAATGTCTGACTCATGATAGAGGCACACCGAAAGTTAAACAAATGAATTATATATACATGTGTTTCAAGTAGGACCTTAAGCATGACTCCTTCAGTGATGAGGAGAATGATCTTTACATTGCTCTTCTGCCTCAGCAACATAGACTAGCACCATTCCTAGATCATCTCCTATCTTAGCAAAGTAGTATTTTCATTTGTAGAGGAGGTCGTTAATTTCTGTTTAAACAGGAAAATGGGGCCTTAATAAAAATGTTGCTTCTGGTTTTCTACCCGACATCACCTTGTTCTTCCTATAGCCCAGATTACTATTTTCTCAGCATACAAACTGCATAGATAGGGACAAAAAATATAACCCCAGTGCACACCTTTCCTAATTTTTGATATCTTCAATAAATGTAGAGAATAATAAATATTTGTCCCTTTAAAGCCTTCTCAACAGGAGATTTTTTGTGCTCAAATGTTACATTTACAATTAAAGGTCATAATAGAATGTTTTGTTGTGGTTGATTGCCGTCAAGTCAAGCACGACTCAGCGACCCCATGAACAAAAGACCTGAAGCATTTCTATAGTTATCATCATTTCTCAAAGTTCATAGAGTTCCTAGAGGCATGTTGTTTAGGAAGTGAATGCCACTCTTGCTTCATAATAGAATAAATATCTTTTTTTTTAACTGCAGAGGAGAATTTGCTCTATGGCTCGATGGAGATCTCTACCATGGAAGAAGTCATTCTTGTAAAACATTCGGGAATCATACACTTTCCAAGAAAGAAGATTTCTTTATCCAAGACATTGAAATTTGGGCTTTTGAATAAAATAGAAGCCTCTCTGTCTTAGCAAGATATTGCCCCAAACCTTGAACATGCATTGATTTGAAAGAGCAAGTAGCAATACAACGTAACAACATGTCAGGAGTGTTTAAAAATTATTTAGTTTCCACATTTGTTACCATTTTGGAGTTTATCTTTTTTCAATCATGTTTCTGTCCCAATGTTGTTTGGGTTTAGGCCAAGGCCGGGGTCCACAAAGCTTAACAGTTTGGGTTTGGTCAGCATTTTGGCATCATTTTGATCATAGTGACCCCTCATCTCTGGTTCACGTTATCTCCAGCTCCTAACTTAACAGGATGGTGCTCTTTTGTTGAACTTAACTTTGTTGTTTTTTTGGGGTTTTGTTTTGTTTTTCAACAATACTCTTTGCACATGATCATCTTAGTCTAATTGGGGCACCAAGGGAATAGAGACTAGAGAGGTGTTTCTGCATCACTATGAGGTTGGCACGGGTGACTTGTTGGCACAGGTGGATGTGTTCAGCTTAGTTATTCTTACACATAAGAACCACATGCCAAAATAATGTGTATTCTGTAGACGACTGAGTTCTAGTTTTAATTCACACTACAACATTCTCTCTCTTAATTTTAAAGGTATTCATAATTTCCTTCTCTGAAAAATGAAATTTGAGGGAATTTTATTTGCAGGAACCACAGTACACATGATCTGTAGGTTTGGGCATATGTTTTCATCATTGAAGTATCTGATAAAAGATATATAAAATGACAAAGGAGAATGAGAACTTGATTATTTTATTGGATTTAATATATTTAAGAAGAAAACATAGTATTTACATATTTATAGCTTTAGCAGGGCATTATCATAAGTATAGAAACTATGAAACAGACGCATATTTCTTCAATATTGTGTCAGATACACTGTTTTATAGTTCTGTTATTTTTAGCATCATTGCACAGCTCCCAAAATACAGTTTATTCCTGTTCAAAAGGGAAAAAAAAAGAACACCCCAACACTTTGTGATTTTTTTTAGTGGTATATGTTGTTAATTACCATTAGCAGTTGCTCTTATAAAAGGGCAGTGATTATAGTAAACACCTTGTAACTCAGTAGATTTGTGGAATATGCAAACTTACTGTCAAGTGACCTCAAAAAACTGATAGACTATATTAGTAGTTCTTATCCTCTTTTGTAGGACAGCCAATAATAAGCCATTGTGGCAATAATTCCTCATAAATTTTAAGCTTCATGTTATGCAAAATAAAAACAAAGATCCACAAAACCCCTGCTGTTATACATGTGACAGTGACTTTGTGCTGAAGTTTCAGCTATTCCTAATAAACCTTGTATATTATCTTGTAAATTAAAGTAGTTTTTGTTCTTATAGAAAGTGTTGATTGCCAGGTTGCTTATAGCACTTTGAATTATTCTGAAAATGAAATTACAAGCCAAATATGTTGGCTTACATAGTTTTAGTTGTATAGCATTTGAATATATTTAGTTCTTTTGACAGATTAAATAATTATATAAAGAAAGAATAATGCTAAAGGGAAAAAAAAGTCTGATGTTCTATTATAATAAGCTATTGCTAAATATGAATAGAAATCCAGGGCATCATTTCTTGGTCTATATAAATCTCTCTTGTAAGGTAGTAACAATACATAGATTAAATGTTTACAATATAAGCAATTGTAAATAAATATATCAGGTTTTCCCCCCTTCGGTCTTCCACAGCAGTATTATTGTCTTTGTGGAGTTAACTAACCACCAAAAAAAAAAGAAAGGAAAAAAATTCTGTAATTGATTTCAGTTACAATAAAGTCATAGTGGTGTATACCAAATAAAATTAAATATATATGTATACCAAATTGAGTTTGGATTTGAGTGTCATATGTTCATAACCTGTGCGGTATTTCGTTAGTGCTGCTGTCTTTGTTGGCCATTATATGCATTAATATAATCATAGTGGTGGAGATAGTGCCTCCCAGGTCGAATAATACCACCATTTAAGAAATGAAGGTGTGGAAGCATGTGGTATATGAGGCAGTACACGTTAGCCAAAGGTTTTAAAGTACAGTGCTCAGTGCTTTCTAGTGAAAGGTTTCATGTGTAAGCATGGGTGTCTCCTTATCATTAAGCACTTTCTTGTGTGCAATTCTTCATAGAGTAGTTAGGAACATTGGTGGAGGAATGGCTCATGATTAAGTTTGCAGTTTAGGAAGATCTTTGTGGAACAGATTCCCTCACTGCCATCGAGCTGGAATGGATTCCAGGCTCACCTTCCTTGATTTCTCAGGGTGGGAAGTCACCCGGAGGAGCGGGCCCATCTTCCTCCCACAGAGCCTTGATGGATTTGGACCTAGCAGACAGGTGTGGACTTTGGGTTAGCAGTGCAGCTCACTGCTAGAGCCTCAGACTCAGCCACCAGGGCTCCCTGTGTGGAGGGAGGGAAAAAGGAAAAGCCTAACACTAGAGGCAAGGGGATGAGCACATACGCCAGTTGGAGAAATTATGAGGCCTGACTATGAATAGTAGCATTAAGATAAGGAAGAAAGCACAGATTTAGAAATTAGAATTAACAGTATTTGGTTATTAATGCAATGTCAGATGAGTTAAAATTAGGGGTTCAGCTTACTTTCAGAAGTGACACTGGTTCAGAATGGGGCCCTGTTACAAGTCAGGCACTACCTGTATAATTAGTGAATAGCTTAGTCAAGTTGATTTTTCTGTAAATTGTTATTGATTATAGAATTTATAGCTACAGATAGAGCAAAGAAGAGCTAAGGCAGCATCGATCTGGCCCGGTGAGGGGGTGGGGGCTGGACTTTTCAGTAACTGGTGCTTGGCTAATATCTGAACGGGACAAAAATCTGACCCATCTTAGAACATTTACAGATTGTAGAAAGGTAAAACAAAGCAATGTTTTAAAACTATCTTTGTGACCTTAGGACAGGTTTATATTTCTTTAAAAAAATACCCATATGAGGGATCACTCCAGCATGGACCAGACGGTCTCCTAGAATCCGAAAACAGAGGTATTATAATCCTTTCCTGAAGTATGTGTTCCATTGACAATTCTGTTTTACACTAATATTCTATGCCACATGAGAAGCAGCAACGGTGTTTTTGCTTTTTACCTATTGGTAATAATTAGACACCGAGGGAACTAAAGTTTGTGAAGAGAGAAGAAAATGCAGAAGGCCCGCTGCAAGGGCAGCATCGTGGTTCAGGGCACTGTGCGAAGAATAAACCTCGAACTCCTGGTGCTCTCAGCTGAGCCCAGCAGCAATGTGAGTGTAGCAGCGGGGCAGTTGGGCTTTCACAGAAGCCGGGAGGCACCAAACGTGTACCGATGTAGAAAAGGGAAATGATACTTCAGCAGAGCAAAAACCTACCTTCAGATTAAAGCTTAAAAAAGAAAACAGTACTTGGAAGCCACTTTTGCAGCCCTAATTATTGGAGATTTAAAATTGCCAACAGTAAATATCTTTGATAGTTTCTCCCATATGTCGTGTATTATTTTGGTGACGATTATTAAAATTTTCACTGACTCATTTGTGTCCTGAGTACCATTTACCTTGTTTTTTGAGTTTGTCCAAATGTCCTGAATTTCTAAACTTCACATTTTCCCAAAATGGGTGTTTGTGTTTTACTGTTTCAGTTTTTTAAATTTTGTTTTGTTATTTTGTGTGTGTGTGCCGTCAAATCGGATCTGACTGGTACAGGAGGAGATTGCCCCCCCCCCTTCACCAGCAGAACATCTGGTGGGTTCAAACCACTCTGAGATTGCAGTGCAATCACTAGGCCACCAGAGCTCCCTTGTGTTTTATTGTTGTAAAATAAATGTTAGAAAACATTTGCCAGTTGATGGCCAGGTTACTGCCATTGGTTGTACTCTGCATAGACAGCCATCACCACTATTGATCGCTATGGTGGTTTTCCCACGCCCCCTACCGCCAAGTTCACCTTAGGCAATTAATAGTCCCCTTCTCTATTCTACCCACCCCTGTCGTTGTTGTGTACCATAAAGACGGAACCGACCCAAAGCTGACCCTCCAGCTGGTTTTCAGAGGCAAGTTAATCGCATGGGAGGAGATTGCCCATCCTTCTCCCTTAGAGTGGCTGGTGGCCTCAAACCACATGCCTTTGGGATTGCAGGGCAGTGTCTTGTCTCTAGGCCACCAGAGCTGCTGCTGTTGTGTATCTAGTGAGAACCGACATAGCTGACCCTCCGGTGGGTTTCACAGGCGGTTAGTTAATTGCATGGGAGGAGATCACCATCTTCAAGCCATGAGCTGTAACAAGCCCACTGCTGTCAGTTCTGGCTCATACCAGCCCTGTAGGGCAGGGCAGCACTGCCACTTTGGGTTTTAAGGCTGCTATGAAAGAAGAAGTTCAAGCTGCTTTGAAGGAAATGACAAAAAATAAGGCTCTAGGAATAGATGGTATACCAATTGACATATTTCAGTTAACAGATGCTGCCCTGAACGTGCTCACCAAGTTGTGCCAAGAAACCTGGAGAACGACCACTTGGCCAACTGACTGGAAGAGATCGATATTTGTTCCTATCCCAAAGAAAAGTGACCCAGCAGAATGTGGAAACTACAGAACAATCTCACTGATTTCACATGCAAGCAAGATTTTACTGAAGATTATCCAAAAACGACTGGAACAGCACATCAGCAGAGAACTACCAGAAGTCCAGGCTGGGTTTAGAAAGGGTCGTGGTACTAGAGATATTGTAGCTGATGTTAGATGGATCTTGGCTGAAAGCAGGGAATACCAGAGGAATGTCTATCTGTGTTTCATTGACTATGCAAAGGCATTTGACTGTGTAGATCATAACAAACTGTGGCTGACTCTGAGAAGAATGGGAATCCTAGAACACTTGATCGTTCTAATGTGAAACTTATACTTGGACCAGGAGGCAGTCATCAGAACAGAGCAAGGGAACACTGCATGGTTCAAAATTGGGAAGGGCGTACGCCAGGGATGCATCCTATCTCCATACCTTTTCAGCCTATATGCAGAACAGATTTTCCGGGAGGCTGGGCTCTATGAGGAGAAATGTGGGGTCAAGATTGGTGGATGATTTATCAGCAATCTGCATTATGCGGATGACACAACCCTGCTTGCTGAAACTGAAAAGGACCTGAAGTGCCTGCTGCAGAGTTTCAAGGACTGCAGCCTACAATATGGATTGAGGCTCAATGTCAAGAAGACAAAGATAATCACCACTGGACCAATTGGCAGCATCAGGATGGATGGTGAAGAGATTGAGATTGTACACAGCTTTAGTTTGCTTTTCTCCGTAGTCAACAGTCTGGGCACCAGCAGCCAGGAAATGAAAAGGTGCATTGCCATGGAAAAGTCTGCTGTTAGGGACCTCTCCAAAGTACTGAAGAGCAATGGTGTCTCTCTGGAGACTAAGGTGCGTCTGATACAGGCAATGGTCTTCGCAATCACTTGTTATGCATCAGAGAGTTGGACAGTGACCAAGGAGGATAGAAGGAGAATTGATGCCTTTGAGCTGTGGTGCTGGAGAAGAGTACTGAGAATACCATGGACTGCTAGGAAAACAGATTTGTTCTGGAAAGGGTTAAACCGGGTGGCTCCTTGGAGGCAAAGATTCTGAGGCTCCGTCTAACATACTTTGGACATGTTGTGAGGAGGGACCGGTCCTTGGAGAGGGACATCATGCTTGGGAGGGTGGAGGGACAGCACAGGAGAGGAAGGCCCTCTATGAGGTGGATTGGTTGAGTGACTGGAATAATTGGGATGGGAGTGTCAGAGACAGTGCGACTGGCTAGGGCTGTTGTACATACGGTTGCTATGAGTCGCAAGCGGCTCGACGGCACATAACAACAAACAACAACAACATCTTGATGGTGGCCTAGTACGTAGGGAGGTGCACTGCTAGCCCAAAGGCAACATGTCTGGTGGTTCAAATCAACCAGTTACTCCACAGGCGAAAGATAGACAATCTCCAAAGCTATTTACAGCCTCCAAAAACCCACTTGGTGCATCAACTATGAGATGGTTCTGACTTAACAGTATTGAGTTTGAGGATGTTTTTCGAGTCATCACTATATGATCAGATTGCCACATATCCCCCCCTTCACATGGAGGGGCTAGTGAGTTTGAACCGGTGGACTTTGTGTTAACAACTGAATGCTCTGACCATTGTGCACCAAGACTATAGATTAAAACAGCACACGCACACACACACACCGTGATTATATGCCCATCACCCAGAAGGCATTTTTCTCTAAGAAAATGAGCTTTTTATATTGAATCCATACCTCACTCAGAGTGTGTCGCTAGTGAAGAACTCTGAAAGTGGATTTTTACTCCACTCTTTGTCAGTGCTTCTGTGCTTCTGTAAACTTACAAATCTGAATCTTATGGCAATGTTCTGAAGCCTTTGTCTACGAACTGCATCAATAATCAAAGCCCACATTTCTATAATTTGTTGTATTCCAAGCACAAGAAAGTATTATCATGGAAAACAGTCTAAAACCAGCAGTATATAAACAAAAACCAAGTATAAGAAAACAGTATTTATTCCTGTGTTGCCTTTAAATTTTCACATAAGTTTCAATGTTATGATAACAATATATTCTACATTAGAAATATTAGTGGTTAGCTTGCAAGTTTATGTAATGCAAGTTTATAAATACTTTCTTCTGTAAGAAGATGGATGAACTTTCAGTTTGAAAGTAATCAGGTATTTTCTGTCTTGTCACATTTGATATTATTTAAACAGGAAAGTGATGCAATACTAATCAATTTTAATAACTTTCACTGATTCAGTAAGTTAACCATGTCATATTTTTTTAAGTTTTTTTTTTACCATGTGCACAAGGATTCACATTTAATTTTTTTAAGTTTTAAAATCCTATGAATCTATTCACTAAACAGAAAACTAACAAATTAGTGTTAATTTTTTTCTTTGCCATCTTATCAAGCTACTCCTTTTCCACTTTGACAGGACCATTAATGCTTTTCTTGTAATGACTTTTATAAACTGTTCTTAATTTCAGCACAAAGAAACTTAAAGTGTTTCACATTTTTTCTCCTTCACCAGTGAGTTTATGAGCTGTGTCTATACAGAATATTTTAGATTTTTATGGAATTGTTTTTCTCTCTCGTTGTGCCATAAGAAACCCTGGTGGCATAATGGTTAAAACTCTTGGCTATTAACCTTAAAGCTCTGGTGGCTTAGTGGTGAGAAGCTGCACTGCAATCCAGAAGGCATGAAGTTTGAATTCACAGCTCCATAGATTAAGGATTGGCATTCTGACTGCAGTTAACTGCCTCTGAAAACCTGCTGGAGGGTCAGCTAAGACTCAAGGGCACACAGCAACAACTAATCTTAAAATGTGTAGCTCAAATCTACCAGCTTTTCCAAGAGAGAAAGATGTGGTCAACTGCTTCCTTCAAGATTCACAGCCTCAGAAACACTGGGGCAGCTCGATTGCTAGGGCCACTGTGAATCAGAATCAAGTTGATGGCAAAGGGTGGTACATTGACATGAAAATGTCAGCAGCATGATTCATTAAGGGCTTGGGCATAAGAGACCAGTTTCCTGAGGAAGTCTTATGAAGGCAGGTTAATCTGAATCCCCCACTTCTGCTCTACACTCAGAATGAAAGTGAACATAACTACTCTCTGTTGGCTCTTTTAGGGCCAGTGTTCCCGTGTGATCAGTCATAATAACAGAAGGAATAACGCCAGCCCCTACCAGGAAACTCCGTAAATGCCAGGCTCAAGGACGAGTGAACTTTAACAGTTTCAGCATCTTATTTTAAAACTCTATAAAACTTGAACCGACTATCTTAAGTCTGTCCTGAACCATAGTGAAAGGAGGTTGCCCATCTTAACTCCACCAAGGTGCCACCATTGTATAACAATAGTCCAGAATAAGAGTAGGCTTTCAGCTATGAGCACAACTTGATACACAGTAGAGCTCCTCCATTAAAAAAAAAAAAAGAAATTATATATATTGTATTATATATATATACAAACAAATGGATAGAAAAACAATGGTATATTCATACAATGGAATATTAAGCAGCACTGAAAAAAACAATGAACTCATAAAACATTGCAGAGCACGGGGGATCTTGGAGGACATCATCCTAAGTGACGTATCTCAGTCACAAAAGGACGAATAGTGCATAGTACTGTTATAAAGCAGGTCTAACATGGGGGATTAGGAGGGAGAATAGGTTAATGGTGAATAATGACCATTTCATTGGAACAGATGAAGGAAAGAACTGTTTGTTTTAAGGAATATATGGTTAGATATTATATGTATAACAATAGTCCAGAATAAGAGGTACATCGTCACAAAGAAGATTTGGGGGAGGAGGGAGGAGGTAGATAATTGTGCAAAATGAATGAATATTTTTTAAAAAAGAAAAGGTGAATGGGCAAAGTGGAAAGGGAGGGAGGGGGTAAAATAGACAATGAATGAATGAGTGAATGAATGAATAAATGAATGAAAATCTTACTTCTCTGTAAACATTCATTAAAATCACAATTGAAATAAAATTTTATTTAAAAAAATAAAAATTGTTGTTGTTGTTAGGTGCCATTGAGTATAACTCATAGCGACTGTATGAACAATCGCTCTGTCCCGCCCTGCACTACACTCCTCACCTCTGATCCCACGCCTGCAGTCACTGTGCCAATGCATCTCTGTGGGGGTCTTTTCTTTCACTGGCCATTGTTCCAAGAATGAGATCCCTTTTTAGGGAACAGCCTTCCCTTTGCTATGATAAATACAGTACTCTTAGAAATACAGTAGTGCAAAGTTGAACTTAAAATAATTCATGTTTAGTTTGGCCAAAATGAAGACATAGTTCTTACTTTGTTTCTTCCTATAAAATAATGATAAAATGATGTGTTCTGCCAGCCTTTACTTCTTAGATGTAATATTATATTTAATTGTTGTTATTGTTGTTGTTTGATGCTGTCGAGTCGTAGACGACTCATAGTGACCCTATGAACGAACAGCCTGAGCACTGTTCGTACATAGAGTTTCCGGAGGCAAGCCATTTCAGAAGTGGATGCCGCTCCTGCTTCCAGGCTTGATTTAGTCGGGAAGCTCCAGCCAACACTGTCCACCATGGGTACCCATTACCACGATTGGCATATCAGTGTCACAGTCTTCAGCATCACAGCAACCACGAGTTCCCTCTGTACAGCAACACACAGAACAGTGCTATACCACCTAGAAGAATGTTTGACAGGAAGACAATTTGAACCTGGCTATAATAATTGCTGCAGTTAATAGGTAAATAATTACACCTACAAAGGTAAGTGAAATATTAAATACTAATACAATTGTATTTAACTCATTACAGATATTTTGTAATGACACTACTCTTTCTGAAACGCTTTATTGTGTCTTCAACCCTCATAGAAATTAGGCACTAAAAGTCTTTGTGTAAAAATTGTCTAACATTTTCACTAACAATTTACAGAATGGTTCGCCTCTCAATTGTTAATGTGTTAGCGTTCAGCATTAAGACAATAAAGGGTCAAGTTCAGCTTTTGCCCTTGACAGTTCATTGCAGTAGAGTAATCACCACGTGATCGTCTCGACCTTGCCATAGCATTTCTCCTTCGAAGTCCACCAGGCCGTGCTTCCTGGCCCGCATGAGAATGCCCACGACTTTGTCTGAAATTCGGACATATCTGTCAAAGAGGTCTCCAAAAGTCACCTGGATCTTGCCGTCCCGTCTGTGGCGGGCCATGGTGCGGATGATGAAGCACATGTCCATGATTTCTCTGTGGATGTGCTCCTGGGCACGCTTGGCCCTCTCGGCGGTTTTCGTTCCCTCCTTGGGTTGCCCATAGCCCTCATCTCCTTTGTGGAGGCGGGTGGACATGGCCAGCTCGTAATCGAATTCTTCACTGAAAGGATTGAGCTTCTGGGATTGTACATGTTCATCGGCCCACTGTTGCCATCTTCCTTTCAAATTGCCCACTTGGCTGTATTTCCGTTGGGCTGTGCAGTTGAGTTTCTCTGTAAATCTGTTTGCTCTAAAGGAGAGAAAGGGGAAAGAATGATGTTGAAAGATCATGATACCGTAACACCTAAGTCTTGCTGTCCCTTTATGTTTTCTATGTTTTATTCATTTTAATAAAACAACACATTATGCTTTTTAATATAATTTCTCATTATAAGAGATAAAGCCTATTTAAAGTTTTAGAAAAGAAAGAAAAACTACCACAGTACCACTGTTTTGATTAATTTGGTGTATTTCTTCAATATTATTTTACCTTAAGCATTATAAAATAATATTAAACCAAAAGAGATAAAGTCCTCAACATAAGGCAAAATATGTGTATCTTGAAAATAGCATGTTAATTACCTTTTAGAATTAGACCCATATCCATGCATTATAGGAATACACTTCTTATAGGAATTCTGAAGCCACTTTACTTCCGAAGGATCAGGTTTATCCCACCTCATACACAGTACTTGTTCATATGTGAATTATATGTATATGGACGTTTAAGGAGAGCATATCTATACCAGAATCAGCAATGCACGATTAACTTTAAAATATCAAGCGGTTCAGGTTGCATGCAACTACCAGCTAGGATGGTAAGGTTTGTGGAACACTTTCTTTTTAGCATTGTCATAACCCGTAGTAAGAGGTACTGCTAGTCCAAAAGGCTTGTGGTCTTTGACTGAATCCATTGGGTATAAGGAGAGAGACAGACAGTCCTCCTGTGCAACATATAGACTTGGAAAGTGATGGAGATTATATGAGTTGAAACTGGCCCAGCGGTAGTGAGTTTGAGTTTGACTTTGCATGAATATTCCCTACATCCACCCTATGAAATAGATAATATTTATAACCACTAGAAGAGGAGATTGAGGCCAGAGACATAGCACGTGAAAAGTCATGAAACTTAAGTGGTAGGACTGGGGTGTGAAGCTAGGCCTGATTCGGGCCCCCATTCATAACCAAACAATGTTGCTCTGAATCAGTGACAGAACCAGAATTCAAACCCAAAACTGTCAAGGCCAAGCTCATTGTTCTTTCTTTTTATGCAGTGTTACCACAGATAATTCAGACAAATGAATGTGTTTCAATTATGTGCGCATCTGTCCTTGGAATTCAGGATGCCTTTTCATATTAAGAAAAAAGCACTGAAAAGTGTAGGCCAATATTATCAGGGCATAGGACTGATGATAAAATGGGCAAAATTTGTGATTTCTCTATTTCCCATCTGTATGTTTTTCTCATGTCTCTACCTTTTTAGGGAAAACAATGAACTCATTTGTTCCCCTCCTTTTCACAAGGGAGCTCTGGTGGGCTAGTGGTTTGGAGTTCTGCTGCCAACCCAAAGACACCCAGTTCAAATCCATGAGAGACTCAGTCTCCTCCCTTGTGATTTACTGCATCTGAAATCCCCCTGAGGGTCTGCGATGGGTTGATTCCAGCACAATGGTAGATGGAGACAACAACATCCTCACAAATGACCCACCCTCCTCCCTCTCACGAAAGAATTGTTATTGACAACATTGGATTGGCATGTGTTGAAACTGTTATAATGTGATTGCAAAGCCTGCCTTCCAGTCAGATGTTTCAAATGCAGGTCAAACTGCAAACAAAGAGGCCTGTCCCAGAGAAAGCGAAACCAGGCTGCTCCTTGGAAGCAAGGGTCTCAAAACTCCATCTCACATACTTTGGGCACGTTGTCAGGAGGTCCTTGGAGAAGGACATCATGCTCAGAAGGGCCGAAGGTCCACACAAGAGAGGGAGACCCTGGATGAGATGGAATGACAGTGACTGTGACAATGGGACAGGGGTATCAGAGATGGTGAGGCTGGCTCACAGCAAGGTTCAGAACCACTGGACATCAGGTCGCGATGAATTCAACAGTTCAAATCCTCCAAACCCTCCACAGGAGAAAACCTGGTCAGTTCTTTACCTTCAAGACATGGAGCCTTAGAAACCTGCTCGAGAGTCCAAACGAGTCAGAATCGACTCAGCTTCCGTAAGTTTACATAACTGTATTTTCTTCCCCTCCTCCTCCATAATAACTCTATTTTCTATGTCATTTTACCTTTTTTCCTTGGTGGGCGGAGGGAGTATTGACTACAATATATCATCATGCTCTTACATGCAATTGCGTGTTCCAGTTTGAGTTCTACTGTAATATGCAGTCAACTTGAGGGCACACAACAACAACAACATAATCAAACTCACTTCCTGAAATCCGATTGCCCAAAAGAAGGAACCAAGCATGTAAATAGAGGAATGTATAGATGTAAGTAGAGGAGAAATAGATGTAAATAGAGGAATGCGTCCTGAGCGAGCTTCCCCCGCCCCAGAGGAATGATAGCCACTAGATGGCGCGCTGTCACTAAGTCCCACGCTCTGGATTTCCAAACTGCTGGCTACTCTGCCTGTGACTCAAGTAGGATTTTCTGAAAGGAGTTCTGGTGCCCAGTGTGCCCGGAGCTCTGCTGGGAACTGAACTGCGGTCCAAACCTCCCAGCTGCTCGGTGGAAGGAAGAAGTGGCAATTCGCTTAGAGACTACCTGGGGACACCTGTACTCTGTCCTGTAGGGGTTTTAGGATTACTGAGCAACTGGACAGCAACAGATTTGGGTTTGGTACACTTACTAGATATAATAGAATTCAAACTAGAATATGCAAGTACATATGACAGCATGATGGCTTCTTGTAGCTAATATTCTCTCCACCCACTGGGAAAAAACACAACCCCCCAAAAAACCCCAACCCCAAGGTGGCAAAACGACACAGAAAATACAATTATTGTGTAAACCTATAGCCGTTGAGTTTATTCTGACTTATTTGGATTTGTCATAGCAGGTTTCTGAGGCTACATGTCATGAAGAGAAGAACTACCCAGCTTTCTCTGTGGTTGGTAGGTTTGAACTGGGGGACTTTTTAGTCATAGACACTACACACCTGCTACCAGAGGGTGTGTGTGTGTGTGTGTGTGTGTGTGTGTGTGTGTGTGTGTAAAAAAGTAAATAATATATATTACATATGATATAGAAATATATAATGTATGTATTATGTAACAAAAATATTTCAGAATAAACTTTTGCCCTTATTAAAATTAGGCCATAACTTTGGTCCACACTTTGCAGTGCTTTGTTTGTTTGTTTGTTTGTTTGTAAATAGGAAACTGAACTCTAATTCCAAAGACAGACTCATGCACAACTGAAACACATTCATTTGTCTGAATTATATATTGGTGGTATCACAGCATGAGAGGAAAGAACAATGGTTTGGCCTCTGACAGTTGTGTGTTTGAATTCTGGCTCTGTCACAGAATGAGTGTATAATTATAAATTTGGGCTGGACCTGGAACTCCACCGATTTCCTGTAACTCAAAAATCTCATTCCTATTGAGACAGAACCAACTAAGAGCTGGCCCCTGTGTGGGTTTCCAGGCCTGAAAATCACGTAGGAGCACACTGTCCATCTTTCTCCCACAGAGTTGCTGATGGGTTCAAACTGAGGGGAGGCCTCTGGGTTGAGAATGAACTGCCTGTGCCCTCAGTTATCTGTGATCCCCAGTCGAGGAAGCATCCTTCCCAATCAGCAAAGCAAGGGCCTTCTACTGCCCTTCCTAACTTATAAAATACAATCTAAAGGTATGCTGGGATGAATTTATTCTTTGTGCGTTGGCTTGTTTGCTCATCCCTGCATTATATATATGACTGATTAAAGGAAACATGACACACAGTAGGTCACATCAGAAGCATGGCAGCATGATAACTGTATTCCAAAGGTAGTGTGAACATCTCCGACCAGCAGTTATGGTCTCTGTTTTGTTATCAGCTAGATTTGAAGACTCTCTTTGTGTTAGTCTGTGGAGGGCTTTCAAAGCTCTCCTCAGTTTATTCTTTAGCTTGAGAGATGCAATCTAACACAGTAATACCAGCTCTGATCTGGTTTCCTGATTTCACCACTTAATAGCTGTGTGTCTTGAGTAAGTTTCTCAGGTCTCTAATCTGTACAATGGCCCTCTCCAGTTCAAGTGCTAATCCCCCTGCAAACTTTGTACAGAGCTCTGGTGGCCTCGTGGCAAGAAGCCGCACTGCAAACCTGAAGAGTCGACTATCGTTCGGTTCAGACTCTTTGGTTCACAGCAACAACAGTGTTCGGAGGAGAAAATGAATGATTAGTATATTAAGCTTTCTTTGCTTTGCGAGAGAAGGGGGGGAAATTCCTTTAGTTTAAAGGAAGAGGACTAAAGGATGAATTGTTGTTGTTGTTATGTGCCATTGAGTTGCCTGTGCATAGGAACTCTATGCACAACAACCCTAAGCCCTGCCCTATCCTGTGCCAACCTTATTGTCTCCGACACATCTATCCCCATTACCCCAGTCACTGAATCAATCCATCTCATTGAGGGTCTTCCTCTCTTGCACTGTTCCTCTACCCTCCCAAGCATGATGTTCCTCTCCAAGGACTGGTCCCTCCTTGCAACATGTCCAAAGTATGTCAGATGAAGCTTCAGAATCCTAGCCTCCAAGGAGCAGCCTGGTTTAACCCTCTCCAGGATGAACCTGTTTGTTCTCTTAGCAGTCCGTGTGTATTCAATACTCTTTTCCAACACCATCGCTCAAAGGCATCAATTCTCCTTCTATCATCCTTAGAATGCAGTCATAAAATCAAATGGCTGAGTATTCAAAATAATATATAAAATATAAACCATTTTCACAGCAAAACCACTATTAGTAAAACAAAAGATCTTTTAACAAAACCTGAGTTATTTCTATTCATGCAACATCTTAACGATGAAGAGAATATTTTCTATCCATTTAGATATCCAGGATACCTCAACAGACAGTGCCACCAGAGCGTGAGTGAACAGAAACCCCGTTCATATTGACTTGCTCCCTAATCTCACTTTCTATCTCTCAAGTAATAGGTCATAGTTCCATCAGACAAGAGATCCCAGTAGACTTCTTGTGAAAGTTCTAGGGCACAGCTCAGATTACTGTTGCCATTTGGAGATGATGTCACATACAACATTCTAGTTCCCTGTGAGTTGTAAGACTGGAGGCTGAAGAGGAAAATCCTGCTCCTCCCATTGCCATCTCAGAAAAGTCAAGTTCTTTTCACCTTAAGTAATTGGAATCATGAAGCTGGACCCAGTGCATTTCAGTGATTCAACACATTAAGCAACTCTCCTGAATTCATTGTGTTACATAAGCCATTTCATAATAGCAATGAAATATGGTTGGTTATATAATTTTCAGATGAGGACACAAGGACTCACAGTTTTCCCAAATGACTATGATCAAATTGCCTTTTATTGCAAACTTATGTACTCTCATTCAAGTTATGAAGAGGCTCAAGTTCATTCCTGGTTTCAAGAACCTTAATAAGCGAGGCTTTGTGTGTCAGTCCAAGGGGGTTTAGATTACTGGTTAAGAGAATGACCTCCAGAGCTAGAATGGCTACATTCAAACACCATGGGCTATAAGATCTGAGATTTTCTATTATTTCCAGGCTTGTATTCCCATCTGTAAGATGTTAAGAATTAATGTACTTAATCCTTTGTGGATATTGAGAAGAGTAAATGAATCAATAGTTCCTAGGCAAATGTCAAAGAATCCCAGATGGACATCAGGTTAACCTCTTAGCTACCTGTCACAGTTAGGTGTCATTTGGGTGGGTTTCAATTTATTAAGGACCCATTTTCTAAAGAAGAACTGCCCTCTAGGATTATCTAGTCTGTCATCTTGGTGGCCAGAAGTTGGACTAGTCCTGGTGGTGCAGTTGTTAAGCTCCCAGTTGCCAAGCAGAAGCCCAGAGGTTTGAAGTCCTCAGCTGCTCTGCGAGAGAAAGATGTGGCAATCAACTGTCATAAAGAGGACTGCCTTAGAAGCCCTTTCACGTAGTTCTACTCTGTTCTGTCGGGGAGATAAGAATTGAAATCAGTTCCATGGCAACAAATTTGGTTTTTCATTATCTTGGCGGTGAAATGGTTGAACATTAAGCTGCCGGCCAAAAGATTAGAACTTTTCCTTGGAACAGGGAGAGAACCTGGCAATCTCCTCCCATGAAGATTTACAGCCTAGAAAACATAGTTCTTAGTGGTAGAGGGCAGCTATGAGTCTGCATCACCTCCATGCATACAACAACCATCTTTACAGAGCAGATTTCCAGGTCTTTCTCTTGTGGAGCCTTTGGGTGAATTCCAACTACTGACCTATTGACTGATAGCTCAACACTCAACCATTGTGCCAGCAAGGCTCCTACTCACTCATCTCCCAGCTTCTGACCAATTCAAAAGGCATGGGCCTCATTCTGTTAGTTTCTATTATCCCGTTTCTAGTATATTATCTTTCCCCACAAAATCCAGAGGTCAGAATTTAGACCACAGCTTCAACTCAAAATGATACTGTAGGTTGTGCATAAATTCAGGGCACATGGAGGCCCTGCCCCATGGTTGGTAACATGTCGAGTCCATAACCATCGCATTTGGAGGCAGGCATGCTCTGTTTAGTGAGGTCACCTGACTAACTTGCTGGGCCACTTTCCCCTCTGAGCTTCAGTGGGATACTGGACCCCTTCATCATTTATGAGAGTAAAAGACACAGGTGTGGGAACTACAGCACACAATAAATGGTGATTGTCACATTTATCCAAGACTCCACTCTGGGTTCCTTGTAAGCAGGCAATATATAGCCGTTTTCCTTCTACCTAATCACTTTTAAAGTCACAAACTGAAAGACAGCTTTTTATTAAACTCAGTAACCAATTTTGCTGCCTGGCTTCTGTTTGCTTTATTAGGTGTGAGAGTCACATCTACATATGTCATTGTTCCCAGAGGGCATCTGTTTAGAAAAGTTCATGACATCAGGGTCCTCTCCCATGTTTTCATGCCCTTTGGTTTCGTAGTAGGAGATACTGTACATGGAGTTGTCTTAAAACAGAGCAACTGTGTCATGCTTGATCAGATACGCTAACCGCAGTGTATTTTTTGGACAACTAAATGTCTTAGGAATGTGCTGTTTTAATCCTCCAACTTTAGTGACATCTTGGCATATCCACAGCTGCAGAAGTTTTCTTTAGCCTTGAAAAATTGCTAGATCTATATGAGTGATAAACTATGAGTCAACTATGCCTGAACAAAGCTTAACAAGGACAACCACATGGAAGTGTTCTATTCCGTCATATCCAACTCAGAGGCACGCAGAGTCAGCATATGAGTAGTCGGGATCCCTGGTGACATGGTATGTATTGCATCAGACTGCTAACAAGGTCAGCAGTTTGAATCCCCCACCCACACCAAGAATGTAAGATAGGCAGCTCCTTGGCCATCAAGGTCAACAGACTCAGAAACCCAGTGGAGGGTCACTAGGCATTAGGATCAACTTGATATCAGTAGGTTTGTGGTTTGTTGTAGGAATAATGAGTGTTCACGTTGTTGTCGTATACTGTCTAATCGGAACTGACTCCTAGCGGACTGGTCTCCAGAGGGTTTTTAAAGGCAGTAAATGGCACAAGAGAAGCCTGCCTATCCTTCTTCTGTGGAGCAGCTGGTGGATTAGAACCATGTGCCTTTGGGATTGCTGTGCAGCTTCTCACCATTAGGCCACCAGAGCTCCCTAAAGCTTTTGTAGATTGAGGGTCTATGGCAGGCACTGTGCTAAGGATTTGAGAACCTTAATCTTTTTGCTTCTCCCAATAGAACAGAACCTACCCAAAAGCTTCCAATTAACATTCTTTTACAGAAAAGGAGACCAGCTTAGAAAAAGTGCTAATAAAGAGTAGAATTGGGATTAGAATTTGTGTTTCCTACAGCAGAGCCCATTTTCTGTTGAGAAAGCAGCCAGCCACTGGTGTACAGGGTCAGTGAGGTCATAGGAGAGACTGACCGGGGACAGAATATTTCTCAATCAGTCTATCTGCAAAGCCTCCCCTCCACCCCTTTTCTTCCTTCCAGAGAAATAAGCCAATTTATTTCTCACTACATAAAAGAGATGACATTCACTCAAGACACACCTCTCTCTGTCAGTATCAACCTTGTTGAGGCTAACACTTGAGTATTCAATTTAAAACAAAAAAAGACAGCAAAATAGCCTGGACCTTTGACACGCAGGTCCTTGTCTGAAGTTGTCCTTTCAGCCCAGCTGCGTGCCTGCTGGTGTGAGCTCACCAAGTGCCTGAACTTGAAGACTCTAAATTTGGTATTGCCTCTCTACCTTCTCACTTGGCAGAGTTAGTTGGGGCTAAACCATGATCCAGGTATGGAAGGCCAACTACCTACTGGTGCAAATGGTTAACAGGAGCAGCTGCTAAGCTGAAAGGTGGCATCAACCCAGAGGTGCCAAGCTAAAAGGTGGGGGCTGCTGAAGTCTACCCAGAGGTGCCCTTGCCAATCTGCTTCCAAAAGAGAAACCACTGAAAGTCCTATGTGCACAGCTCCACTCTGATCCGCAGGGAGTGGCTGTAAATCAGAACTGATTCAGCAGAGCGAGTACCAAGGCCCCTGAGGGGCCATTCACTTACTGAGAGGGCAAGGGGCGTTTGATCCTGGCTCCAGCCACCTGCTCGCCTTCCGGCTCAGGCCGCTCCTCGCTCTCCCCTCCATAGCCACTGTCCTCCGTGTCTAGGCTGTCGCTCCGCCTCTTGGTGTCTTCCTGCTCCATCTCCTTCCAGCCCTTGGTCAGCTCAGACACCAGCTTGCCGCACTTCCTCCTCCTCGTCGGGGAGCCGTGGCTGTGGAGGATTCTGTCGATGTCATCCTCCGCCTGCGTGGGTGCAGACACCTCGCTGTCCTTCTCGTACCTGTGGCTGAGGTGGCTCACATCTCCTCCTCTCTCATAAGCCTTGCTCACCACGGTTTTGCTCACTTCTTTCCTTTTGATCTGGGAGACCTCAGAGGCGCCCCCGGAACTCTGTCCATCTCCTTGTCCCTCGGGCTGTTGGGATGCAGACTTCAGGGCCCTCTGATCTTTTTGGAGAGGGGTAGGATGTACCTCTGGTTTAGGGTCCTGGGTCCCTCCAGGCAGCCAGCCTGCAGGCTCCTGGGCCTGCTTGGTGCTGTTCTCATTTGCCCACTGCTGCCAGCCTCGGGCCAAGTTGATGACCAGCGTGGCTGTGCGTACCTTCTGGAGGGCAGCCCTGGCTGCCCCTCCCACCCTTTCCTTCTCCCCTGGAGCCATGTTTCCCTTCTGTTCTCAGCTGGGACCCCCAACACTGGCTGCAATGGAATGCATGCAGTCACTGAAGAGCTGGGATTTAAATAGCAGCAGGGTCTGGGGTAGGAGGGAGAACTCGATGACGCTGGAAACTATGCCAAACATTTCTTGCCAAGACGTGGTGCCTTCATTCTGACAGCGTTCTTTTTTTAAACCCTGAGGGCTCCAGTTTCTCCACAACAGAGGGACATCTTGGCTGGTAAAGGACAGCGACACCCCCTTCCCTCTACCAGTGCCAGAGTGGAAATTACTAGATCTGATCATGTGTTCAGCCTTCAGTTTGTCTTGACCTTAAGATGTGATCCTACCATTTATAGGACCATGCAATCTGTGCCCAGACTGTGCTAGGAACATTTTGGGCATGTTCTCATTAAATGTCAACAGTGCTCCATGTAGGTCTTAATTAGTCCAATTCTGTAGCTAAATGGGATAAAGTCTAATCTCCTACTGCTAGGAAGGTCTGAGATTCAAACCCAGACCTCCTTGATTCCTAAGCTTTGCTTTTGCCACTAGGGAGCACCATCCACCATTCAAAGAGCCCAAATTGGCCTTTTATGTTGCCTTCTTATCCATCAGAAATAGATCTTAGAAGTCAGCTCCTCCAAACTTCATTTTCCAAATGGTAAAACAGAGGCCCAGATAAATGAAGACACCCAGGCCCAGAGAGGTAGAAATCCATTTTCTAGTTCTGGTTTGATTTATTGTATTGACAAGCCATCTTAACACAAGAGGATAATAGAATTCTGCTTCAATCATTAAAAATGTTGAAAGAGCTGCAGACATTGTATTTTCAAGAGTACCATAAAAATATATATATTTTTCACCTATCTTGTTAGAAGAAAATATTGTTTATATAAAGCTAAAATGAATTGTTTTTATGTACCATCATGTGGGAATTGACTCATTTGGTTCACCGGCAAGTTTTCAGAGGCTGTAAATTACAAAAAAGATGGGAGGAGATTGCCCGTCTTTCTCCCACCAAACAGCTGGTGGATTCAAACCACCTCATTTGGATTTGCAGCACCACTCTTTACCCCTAGCCCACTAGAGTGCCCCAAGATAAATTCAACATATGACATAAATAAAGTGTGTTTTTCTGGTTTAGTTGGGGTTGAGACTTGGGTGTGACTGTTGCTCACAACTGAGTGTGAGCTGATTGGATTTGGCCTCGTATTTCTTTGTGGAGCTCTTGAATGAAACAAGCTTGGAAGCAGGAGTGGCATTCACTTCCCCCAAAAAATTGCCTCCAGAAATTCTATGAACTTAGAGAAAAGATGAAAGTTTCATGTTCAAGACTTTCATTCATAGGGTCACCATGGGTCGACTAGATGGCACTTAACAACAACAAAGCTTAATTAAAAGGCCTTTGGTTTCATAGAAATTGTCACCCTTTCGACCTTTAAAATGATATCTGAAATACAATTACTGTTGTTGGTGATTGTCATCGAGTCGAGCACGACTCATAGCGACCCTGGGAACAAAAGGCTTGAAGCCCCTTTACAACCATCACCATTTATCAAAGTTCATGCAGTTTCCAGAGGCATGTTGTTTAAGAAGTGGATGGCATTCCTACTTCCAAACACTCAAAATGGGGGGAAAACACTCCCAAACCAGCAAAACCAAAAAACATTTCTGAAGAATAGAAAGCATTTCAGGACTAACTACCCTGGATTAAAAGGCTCAGGTCTCAACAATCTCAGAACTGAGTAATTTCTCTAAGTTGTTGTTGTTGTTGTTATGTGCTGTAGAGTTGAACTGACTCATAGCTGAACTTCCGGAGGGTTTTCAAAAGATGAAAGATGCCTAGGAGCTTTTCCACCTTTCTCCCATGGAGCAGCTGATGGATTTGAACCACTTGTCTTTGTGTTGGCAGTGCAATTCCTTACCAATAGACTACCAGAGTTCCTTATTTCTTAAAATAAGACAAGAGAATTTTTAAAGTTTCTTTTGTTTATAAAGCTCTACAGTTTTTTCCAATCTAAACATGCATTTATGCATATTGATTAAAAACCACTAAAAAGATATCTACATATATATCTATGTATAGATCTACAGTTATTGTTGTTGTTGTTAAATGATATAGAGTTATAAATGACACCTAGCAACCCGATGAACGAAAGCCTTGAACATAAAGCTTTCATCTTTTTTCCAAGTTCATAGAGTTTCTGAAGGCAAGCTTTTTTTGGAAGTGTATGCCACTCCTGCTTCCAAGCCTGTTTTATTCAGGAAATTCACAAAAAGAAGGCCTGAAGGCTGTGGAGTATGAACGTTAATTATTTCTGATGGTGAGACCTTTATTTTGAAAGAAAATGCTGATGCCAGTTTTCCACTATAAAGGTCATTCACCTTCTAGGAGTCAAACAATATAGGAAATGACTTAGTACTCTACCTAGAAATCTGTCAGATGTGTTTTCAGAGTTCAGCAGCGTCTGATAAAATTAACTAAGGGTCAACAACTCAGGGGAAACCCCTTTTGATTAATTAAGAGGAAATTGGATCACAAGGAAAGAAAACTATTGCAAAGAAAGATTTAAATCTGAAATTTCTGACATTCCATCTGCAGACTAGACTGTGTGGTTCCTGTCCGACTTCCTTCATTCCACTTGGAAGACCTTTGGGAGGAACAGGCTTCTCAGAGATGCCCACAAGTTCAGTCCACAATCAGGCGAATTTACAACATCCAAAGGGAGTTTTCTCCTTCCATTCCCATTCTTGATAGACATTTGAATATCATAGAGAAAAAAAAAATGGAGACATAGTGTTAATAGTTTTTCACATAATAATAGATCTCAGCTGCCTAGGATCCAGGGCTGTCAGCAGATGGTCTTGGCAAAACACTCCAGAGGCAGCTCCTGAAAGAATGTGTCTATACCTTCTGAGATTTCACCTCAGAGGCAAATGTAGCCCTTTATTTCTACTTTCACAAGTGTAAGGCAGAGTCCTTTTCCTCCTCAAGTCCACTTTGGGTCTCACTTTCCAAAGGCAAAGTTGTTACAGATTTTCTGTGCATCTTTTGAAGACCGTGGCAATGCTATGTGCTTGGTATCAACCTAGATCCACATTATATGACATTTAACATTTTTCTGTACCAACACAGGGTGTCAAAGAAGTAAAAATAAAGTTTCAGAGACGAAGATATTGAGAAATAAGAAGTGGTTTATGTGATGGGTTTTCTATGAAGCGGTGAGATTTGAAATCAAAGGTGAAAATGCAAATCAATTAAATGAAGTAATTGTCATAAAAATTATATTATTGCATGAAAAAATACTAGAGTGGAATGGAGTATTTATATACCATTCTCTGCAAGGTAGGACTCCAGTAAACATACGAGGAAACCAACCTTTCTGAAAAGTCTTTAGAAACCTACATCATATAATAAGCCTTTAATGGTTTCGTTTTAGAGATTTTTGAAAAGACATCCACTGAGAGAGAAAAAGATTCTCTTACTGCAGTGAAGCTTACCTTTATTACTGTTCATAAGACGCCTGTAACAGGCAAGCCATTATGATGGACAATGTCTGTGGGAATTCAAAGCTGAACAAAACAAAATTTTCTCTCAAGGTTTTCCCAGTCTAGCCATGAGAGGAAATACAACGATCTTTAAAAGTGTCTTGGCTTTCCTATTAGATACATAAATGGAGTTTTATGGAAGCATTGAGCAAAAGGTAATTGATTTGACTGGAAGGACGTTCACAGAAGTGATGAGTCTTTATTTGGATCTGGGGGGAAAATGAAGATTTTTACAAGGAAGAACAAGTGTATTTATGGTCTAAATAAACAACCTGAACAAACTTATAAAAGCACAAAACAAATGGTACATTTAGAGAGTGGTAGTGGTACAGAGTAGTGGTCATAAACTTGAGTGTACAAAGTCAGATACGTACCTAAAATGTATAATGAGAGTGCGGTGGGAGCCATAACACAGGCCGGTAAAGACCATGAACAACTCTTGAAATAATTTTTCAAGAGAAGGAAGAGATTTAAATTTTTACATGAGCTTTCCCAATCCTTTAAGTATTGACAACTGAGAAAAACACAAATATACATCATACATATAACTCACAATGTGAACTTGGGTGAGTCAATGTGGAACAGCATTTCTGCTGACAACGTGAACCAGATTCTGATGAAGAGCTGGGGAAGAGCACACAGTGTTTAGGAGGCATCCCAAAGGGCCCAGAGAAGGGTAGGCAATGGCTTTGAAGCAGTATTTTGAAGTTTTGCGAAGAAAGCCTCAATAAAGAGCAATTATCAATAGAAAACATCATGATAACTGGAAAAAAAGAATTGAAATTTTTCACTGTTTCATCTTAGCACTCTTGGTACCAGCAGTCAAGCGCTGCCCTGGGGAAATCTGCTGTCAAAGTGCTATGGAGCAATGATGTCCTTTTAAAGACTAAGGCTCACCTAATTCAAACTACGGTCTTTTCACACATTTGCTTTGCCTCTGAAAGTTGAAAAATGAATAAGGTCTCCTGTGATGACAGAAATACCTAGTTATATATCTCTTTTAAACAGTTTTCTCCCTCCTCTTTCAGTGCAGTATACATTATTGAACCCATCTTACTCAGTCTCTCCCCAACCCCAAGGACAGTCCCATTCTACAACAGTGGCATCATGGGGGAGGGTTTGTAAAACAATGAAAGAATCTTTTCTTTTACTTTTCCATAATTTTTGACTCATGTACTTATGACTTGTTAGTCAAATTTGTGTCTTCTAGGTTGCAACACCCCCATGATACATCTTCAAGGATATGAACATGTACGGCCAAGCACAATCAATAAGAGTGCATCTAAATTCCAAAATCAATCTCCATAATAGTCTATGTGTTTCCTACTGCCAAAGGGGCCCTTTAGAGTAGTGAGAGAAGATCTTCACCCTGAAACCCACAGCGTCTGTTTTCAGGAGGAAGTAGCTAAGAGAATACGCCATCCCCTTTTCCTTATGACTCAGGGTGAAGTCTC